TTAATCTTAAATTCTCCTGTTTAAGTTTGTAAATATTAACATTATATTGTAATCTCTCTGTTCTTGATTTAGCAAGTTTTTTTCTCATGTCTGTGACTATTTTTTGTTCTCTATTCTCATTTTCATTGATATATTTATTTTCAGAACCAACATTTTTTGGTGAATTTGTTTGCTTTGCCTTATTTTGAAGAAATTTCCTTTCAGGTGCCAAATACAGCGTGTTAAGATATTGCCTTTTCCTTTCGTTACTCAATTTATGTTGTGAAAGCTGTCTCTTATATATAGACTCCCACTGATTTTGGAGTGCACCCATATTTGGGGCCACATCTAAACTACACAAATAAAAAACCCATTGTGAACATTTTTTTACAGTAAATCCAAACCTGACCTTTGCCTTCCTTAACTCTAAAATAAGCCCTTTCTTAATTTGTTCACTTTTAATTGGAATTTTACAGGGATTTTCTAACCATTGAAGAGTTATCCCTACTTCATTACAGAAAGGACCTAAATTATTTAGTTCACTTTTCAGATTAAGTGCAAACTCTTTACCAAGTAGCTTATTATTTTTTTTAACAATTACCGTAACCCTATTTCTTATTTTCCTTACAAATGGAGAAATCTTTACATCGTTATACCCTAAATTACTTAAAACTATAGGCACATTGTCTTTAAATGTTAATGACTGTGAATCTTCAATTGTCTTCAGAACAGTATCCCAAAAAAAATATTGCCTCCAAACAGGTTCTTGAAATTTGGTAATGGCCCAATCATCTAAAATTAAAAAAAATATCCCAAAAATTATAAATGGTGTACATAACCGAATCTGACTCTCCCTCTTTTGTGAAATAACTAGCATTTCACTAAAAAAAGGGAATGTCATATATTTAATTTACCAAAGGTTAAGGCATTGATTTATCTGTGACCCGCACATATCGTCCAGCAATAAAATCTTCTTTGACACATCTAAAATCCTATGACCAGCATATGGAAGAAAGGTTTGTACTGAAAAAGAAAACAAAAGGAACCACAAGGAAATAGCTCTTATAACATATTATTTGTCATTAATATGAATGTTATTTTTCAATGAATTACTTTCAATTCATTTTCACTTTACAAGTCCTTTTAAGCGTTATCAACATATTCAACTGATAAGTTGTAATTTTTGGGGCCCTTTATAGCTTACTGTTCGGTGTGAGCCAAGGCTCCGTGTTGAAGACTGTACTTTGACCTATTATGGTTTACTTTTATAAATTTTGACTTGGATGGAGAGTTGTCTCAATGGCACTCATACCACATCTTCTTATATCAATAAAATGTTTTTTTTTTTTTTTCAATTTGCATGATGTAATATTTTTAATCAGTACATAAATAAGTATTTTACTAACCGGCATATGTCTCATTAGTAAGTAAACCCTGCAATATTTCACCAGATATGTTGGACTCCGACAAATATTCCTGAAACATTCCCAGTCCTGAAACACAGAAATATAATCCATTGTAAAGAATAAATTTGATATCTATATGTCTGACTTTATTGAATATTCCACACGTTCCCGTGAAATTACATCAAAAGAGAAAAGTCAGACACCTTTAAAGCGGGTAGTAATTGGGTATCCCACATGACAAATGACAGTAAAATATTTGTTCGAATAACCTTAACGATAAATATTTAACTCCATTTGATGCTAACGGTAGCTACAAAATGAGATTTGACGAATGACAATAAAAAATAAAGGCTCATTTGATGCTAACTGTAGCAAGTAAATGGAAGATTGGTGATACAAAAAGTGACTGTTGTTTAACGTCATAGTTCAAGTGTCCCAAATTGTATGTTGAAATGTCGCAAACTCTCATCCTTGTCTCATGGGTTTTCGGGTGATTAAGAATGCATTGTGACATCACAATTTCCACTGAAAAAGCAAGCATAGTACGAATTTATATGACCTACGTAAACATATGATCTGACCATAAATAGTAAACAGATTTGGGTAAGTGATTTAATTCGCTGAAACATAACAAGTGCCAAGAATGAAAAATAGAAAAGCAATAGCCTAATTTATCATGATTACGCTCCTTATTCAATTACTTCATGTCATTAAAAGATTAAACACGTTATTTTAAATAAAGAAACAAAACTTGTTTTATATCACTTACTGTGAAGGAACAAAGCATTATCAGTTTATTATTAATAATAAGCAATACAAATGTTTCATATGAACTAACCAAATTGAAAGAAAACTTGCCAGGAGTCAACTGCAGATTAGGTATCCAGGTTATAAGGATATCAAATCTTGTATGATCATTTCTTTCTAAAATATGATTGTTTAAAAAGGGGGCACTTATTTTTTTTCAACTAAATTATATAGTAATGTCTAATGACTTTTGTTCGCTTAAAACAAATAGAAAAATGCCAAATATTTTTAAAACAAATAAAAAACCAAGTTAGTTCGAATATTTAACAAAAACAATATATGATTTGCTAAACTTACCGTTCTGTGTACTGACGTTACAGTCACTCGAGTCAGTTTTCATATTGACGACGACGTTCATTTTCTTACTTCCACTTGCGTTTTGGTTTGATCGCTTAATCTTAAAAAAGAAATATGTTCCTGATTATTAATTGCTACCAAATTGGGGTGTTTTAATAGAAAAAGTGTCAAGGTAAACGATTATTGACGTGAAATTTCGGTTCGAATTACTTATCTGGTTGTTTATATTCTTTGAAGATTTCAAACGTGAAAGTCAAGGACGCAGTAACCGGAAATAAATCTTCACTGCGCAGGTGAGAGAAATGGGAATCTCCTTTTTCATTGGATAGTAATTTTATAAATTTCTGACGTCAGGAACATATTTCTATTTCTGTTTGAAGTGGGTAATCCTCTGGAAAAAACCGTGCCGCCGGCAACGTTTTCATTGGAAATGCGTCGCGATTGATCAAATATTACGTTCGACTTCATTTTAAAATATTATATAAAGTTATTCTTTTTGATAAACTTTATATTTTTCTTATATTAAGGTTAACTTTTTATTCTTGATGGTGGCAAAAATCCGACAAAACAACCCGTTTCAAATGTGTATATTTTGAAAAATATCGCGACCGGAAAAACAAAATGGCGGACGTAAATACAATAAACTGGCCTCTCTACTTGTCAGATATATGACGGTTGTATTTCCTTCGTCCATTTGGTTGATAAAGTCTCGCGTTTGATTTTGTCAGTTTTTATTGACTTTCCCCTCTTTGAATTTAACTTGGAGTATGGTATTTTTGTTATACTTTTTTTTTTATTAAATATCCCAAAACATTAGATCATCGGGTTAAACTAGATTTTACAGGAGAGAAATTATGTAAAAATATGTTGTCTATCGAGAGGATCATTAAAAGGTACATAACAGAATAAAACGAATAAATGACCGATCAGTATAACATATAAATATCAGTAAATTCCACAGCATGTATTATATTTAACCAACTATCTTTTACTTGTTTATAACTTCTTTTTTCAGTTGTCAAAGGCATTTCACATTTTTCTAATCATGACCTGTATCTTCCTTATGGTATGAAGTTTTGTTCAGCAAAAGTTCCAAAAGGAAATAACATTGTTACTATGAATAGAATTTATGGTGGAGCATTGTTTTATATTTTAAGAAAACAAATAAAAAAATTTTGAGGGGCAAAAAATGAATGTAAAAGATGATGGATCTTTATGTAAAGCCCATTAACGGACAGGCAAACACTTTGAGTCCATAGCTCTTTTTCACATCCCTTGGTTAAAGAACCGTTTGTCAATACGACAAAACCAGTTTTCAGACTTGATTAATCTTATATCGTGCTTGTTTTCACATATAAACTGTATGGCAACATCAATTCACAAAACAGCAATTTACGCAACTGCAAGATTTTGTGTAACGCTGCATGTTCGAAACGGGGTTTAAAACAACTATCAAATAAGATAAAACAAAAACTGTTACAGAAACCCGGATGTACGTTTTAAATGATTCATAATGTGTTTTCCACTTATTCACTTAAGTAGGTGCAAAGTCTTATTATTTGTGATTTATGCCAGTGTAAACGTTTGTGCTCATAAAAGTGGCATTATAAAATTGTCCTTTATGGTAATACCCATATCCTCAGTGATTGATATAATCTTGCATCCAGTTCATGTTTAGTTATGGGCATAGAAAACTCTAGAGGAGAGAACCGAATACAAGATAATATCTATACGTTCCAAAATGTGGACTACTATGCACAATGCAATGCACAACAGCTCACTGGATATAGCTCCGAGTTGTTCACAACATAACTAGTCTGGAGATAAAATATGACGCATGATAATCAACAATATTGTCATCTGAGATCTATAATTTTATTTTTACCATTGTAATGAAATAGCGAGCACAAATATACAATCCACTTGCCCTCATTGACCTTTCCTGTGAACATCGCCTCATCAAACGCTAAAGTGAAGGTGTGTTCCGTCAACATTTGATCACATAGTAATTCTTGTGTTTTCTAATGTTGTCTCTTGCTCATCAACCTAAAATGCATACATGTAATACCAATATCAAAATCTAAATATGAAAAACCTATCCACATTTTGGTACTAATGGGTGGGAGAGGGGGGAACATATCAAGGATCTCATCAACCCAAACAGTCAGTATGTATTGCCTGACTAAATATAGCCCTTAAACCAACCACTTGGATATTGAAAGAATGAGGATGTATCCCATGTACTTCCGCCAAAGATATCAACCAATTAGGTTATACCCATATCCTCAGTGATTGATATAATCTTGCATCCAGTTCATGTTTAGTTATGGGCATAGAAAACTCTGTTGTCCATACAGCATATTTGCATGCCAATCTCAAATAACACCACTAGCAAGGCTTTCCCTTAAGGAATAGTATTCCCAAAACTCAAAACAAAAATGTCTTCAACACTTTTATTAAATATTATTCTTTTATTTCTTTACAATGCAACTAACCATTTCTAGATACGTGTACACATTTCTTTATAAATAGTTTCACAATTCAATAAGTTCTCATGAATTCGACCACATACAAATTTATGAAGTCTCGTTAAGGCAATGAACTCATATCAAAATGAACATCATTTGTATCACATCTTCAGCATGATGAAAGCTTGTTGTAAGCAAAGGGACTTCACCTTCAAGTGTCAACTATGCTGGCTTGTCGCTTACTTTACTGTTGTTGGATCAAACTCACTCTTTCCTTCCCAATCAGGAACATTGACAATTGTATTTCCACTTGATTCTTCTCAACTCTGCTAAAACTATATTAACCAATAACAATTTGTTTATTTGTACTTGTACAGCATTAGTCACACTTCGAAAAGGAAAAATCCCTTCGCCTACAATCCACGTGGAAAACCACTAGGGAATCAGTGTCCCTCGAACTGTAGACAAAGAAATTTGAATTTAAAAATTTCACTATACATAAAATTTTAGTATACATTGGTATACAAAATCATTCAACATTATATTTAGTAGACAAAACAAAACAAAAATATTGCAACAATTAATCTTCCAAGTCAAACAGATTTTTGTGACATCTTTAAACACATCAATGAAATTATATACAAATCCACTAGTAAACATCTCAAAATTAGGGGCAAATTTTTAGAATTACTTTCAAATAGGTTCATTTAACATAAAGCTGTTCCATCACATGTTTTTTTTTTTAAATTCAAGTATCGCGCCTTACTGGCATCTTCTGCCTTTCTCTTCAATACAGACAAATATAATTTAGTGTTATATCTATATTTACACATTTCTTTTTTTTATTATTATATTTCCTGAAATCAAATCATTACGTAAACATGCAATTTGTACTCACCAGATTCTGATCAGAAAAATCCTGTCCTTTAAGGATGATCCTCATTGACATGAATTATCGTAGAATGTCATATTGCTTCTCCTTCAGACATCAGCTTGTCAGTAACACCCATGATCTGAAAACTAAAACATTCTATTCATATTCTATGTACATTCAAACAGACCGCTGAACGCGGACCTCGACGAAGACACCTTTTAATTCAATACACATCACTCCAGCCAACAAAACTAATACCAAATGACATGTAATTTCACACTTAATGCTTTCCCTTTCTCAATCTTAATATTCTTTTCTAACAAAATCTTATTATACATAAAATATATTAACAAACTCCAATTATACATAAAATATTTTAACGCTATAGCACTTTGCCCGGCGTATAACCGACAAACGGCATAACAAATATATGATCACCTGGGTTAATAATATCTACCCATGACAAGGTCTAAATCCCAAAACATTTCACCACCAATTTCAAAAATGACCACCTATTAAGAAGCCACCAAGGCGAATATAAATGACCACCAAGGTCTTAAAGCCACCAAGGCTAGTATTTTCTTTTTAATGTTGCCACCAAGGCAAATGTAAACAATTATAAAAATGACCACCTAGGTCTATTGCCACCAAGGCAAATATAAATGACCACCTAGGTCTATTGCCACCAAGGCATATATAAATGACTACCAAGGTCTTAAAGCCACCAAGGCTATATTGCCACCAAGGCAAATGTAAGTAAAAGTTAAAGAATATAATTACTTTGCCGACAACACGTGGAGCACGACCATCCCACAGCTTGGATATTGAAAGAATGAGGATGTATCCCATGTACTTCCGCCAAAGATATCAACCAATGAGGTTAAGGTAACACACAAAAGGATATTAACAGAAATAATCGCTGAATAACTAAAGGTATGATTCGTGATTCAGCTACGTTCTTAATTATATTTAATAGAACTGACAAAAAATACTCTGTTAAAACGGGCACCTAAACATACCCGTTTTTTTTTCTCTCTTTTACAAAGAATTATTGAATTTTCATCATTTATGCGTAGTATTAACCACTTGTATTTTATTAGCAAAATAAGTAAACACAATTAGTAAATGATTATAATCAAGTCCGTAATTGTAGTTCAATATTTCATTAGGAATCAGTTTTACAACGGTTATTTTTTACAAATTTGAAAAAGTCAGTTTAATCCAAAATATTTTACTACACTCAAGCTACTTGAAATTCAAAATTACATTTTTTTACCATTACAGCAAAAATGCTTGTTGCAAATTTCAATACGTTACCAAATATGTATTGAAATTTTGTATACAAAAATTATCATTAAATATTTGTTTACGATGCATCAAGGGAAACACTTTTCTATTGCTGTTTCCAACTTTGTAAGTTACTTGCTGGAAAGAATAAATATAAAGATGAGGAGAAGTGGTATGATTGCCAATGAGATAACTATCCAGCAAAGTTAAATGACGAAGATATAAGTTAATTTAAATATCTGATAAAAGAGAGGCAAAAGTAACCAAAGGGTCATTCAAACTCATAAGCCGAAAATAAACAGACAATACCATGGTAAAATAAAAGGAAAAAGACCAAAAGACAAATCACAAAATACAAAACACAACATGATAACTAGTTAAATAGCAAATTTCTTGTTCAAATGTCCGGCGAAAAATCAAAAGTTGACATTAAACATGTAATGTCTGTTTATCTAAAGAGGAAAATTACTATTGGATATTAAAATAAAAGTTCTTTAAAAATACTTTCACTAAATATAACTTCATATTTCAATGCCATATCAAGGACAACGACAAAAAAGCTACATGTTACAATAGGCCTTCATTAACCAATAACATCATTGAGATAGCGGTGTAACAACACAACATTAAAACAAACAATCAGTTTCAACGGGCTTGATGCATCAGATCGATATCATAACCATTGAAAGTCCACTTTAAGAACGAAATTAAAAAGCATTGAAAACTTAAAATTCTTACGACTTAGTTTTTCTATGCCTGGGGGGAGAAAACAAATAGTGCTTCGGATAATTTTTGCATTTTATAAACAGTAAATTTACAGAGAATTGACATAATGTTTAATGTTTAAGAACTGAGGATGCAGTTTAACACTATAATGACATTTTTGTTATTTATAAATATGTGGTGACCAAGATGGGATTTTGGTGATTTTGAATCTGTTCAAAGTTTTGATTTTTCTACCCTATATACCACTTTGCCTCATATTCTTATTAAGAAAAAATTCACACAGCTAATTAAATGGGCATTTAAAAAGTCGGAATGCGAAAACATATGTTCAAACTCTTTTAGGTCATTTCTTAGGAGCAACAAACAAAAGAGCTATGTCAATTGGACATGCTTTGATACTATATCTGCCCTTGAATTTTTACTTGATAACATTTTTGTTCGCTTTGGAGATTTCGTATATCGTCAAGTTATCGGAATTCCAATAGGGACTAACTATGCACCACTTATTGCGGACCTGTTTTTATATTGTTATGAGTTACAATTTATGACTAAAATCAGCAAAGACCCATCGAAACAACATCTGATACAAAAATTTAACAATACTTTTAGATATTTGGATGATATATTGGCTCTCAATAATGACGACTTCAGTATGTATACTAAAGAAATTTATCCTGTTGAACTTACTCAACATAATGCTAATACTAACAATGACCACTGTCCTTTCCTCGATCTTAATATCTATATCATTAACGGGAAGCTTAATACAAAAATTTATGATAAAAGAGATGATTTTTAATTTCCTATCGTTAATTATCCATTTTTAGATGGTGACGTTCCCTTGTCACCATCTTATGGTGTTTATATATCTGAACTTGTACAATTCGCTCGTGTATGTAACAACGTATAAGTTTTTAGCGAGAGAAATTTATGTATCACTGAAAAATTATTACACCAGGGTTTTCGATATCATAAACTAGTCAAAACATTTACTAAATTTTATCATCGGTATAAGGACATCATTCGTAAATATAACTCAACATGCAGACATCTTATACGTTCGGGTATTTCACATCCAATCTTTTATGGTAATATTCTTTACAAAGCCCAAAAATGTCAGTATTCACCTCAAAAGCTAACAAAACCTTTAAACAGACTTATTAAGAAGGGATATAGTTACGACACTGTTGTCATGTCATTAAAGATTGCATATTTTGGCTTAAATATTGATTCACTTATAGGGTCTTTGCATCGGAATTAAACATATCTATTCTAAAACCAGTTGTTGGCATGACACGGGTTATGTTCTTCTCATATATTTCATGATGGTATAATACTAAACCCCTAACAGGAGTGAATGTGCCTGATATTCATATGATGTAGACATAATCCTTCAATCAGTTTAATTGAGGTCTGAAGCTGGCATGTCAGTAACTGCTAGTAGTCTGTCGTTATTTATGTATTATTGTCATTTTGTTTATTTTCTTTTGTTTCCTAATCTGACATCGGACTCGGACTTCTCTTAAACTGAGTTTTACTGTGCGTACTGTTGTACGTTTGTTTTTTCTACATTGGCTAGAGGTATAGGGGGAGGGTTGAGATCTCAAAAAACATGTTTAACCCCGCCGCATTTTTGCGCCTGTCCCAAGTCAGGAGCCTCTGGCCTTTGTTAGTCTTGTATCATTTTTAATTTTAGATTCTTGTGTATAATTTGGAGTTTAGTATGACGTCCATTATCACTGAACTAGTATACATATTTGTAGCTGAAGGACGCCTCCGGGTGCGGGAGTTTCTCGCTGCATTGAAGACCCATTGTGGCCTTCGGCTGTTGTCTGCTCTATGGTCGGGTTTTTGTCTCTTTGACACATTCCCCATTTTCATTCTCAATTTTATTTTATAGAAATCACAAAAATAGACATATGTAATCGTGGTTGTTGTCTAGAAAAATAGGGTTAAAGTTTTGTATATTTTTAATTTCGCTGAAATTTTCTATTACCGTTTTTTTTTTTTTTTTGTTGCAGAAAATTCTAAATTGAATCAATTACATAGCACCGGATGGGAAGATAGAACTACTTGCCAGCGCTGATATTTCATTTGAAAATTGAGTTATTTTGTGTATTTCTTGCCAAAACTGTCTACCATATTATTTCAATAAATTATTCTACATCCAGTACTTGTTAAATGGAAAATACACATAACATATAAAATACATATACGAATGCCTATACAGTTGAATTTTTCATTTCCACAAGCAGAAAAGACAAGAGTTTACATTTGTTTGTATTTTCATTTTTTTTATCTATTATGAGATCTTTCTTTAAGATAAGTTCAAATAATTATCATAAAACATAAGTGACACAATATTTAGATATTTAATTAAATGATTAACATAAAACATAAGTAACACAATATTTAGATATTTAATAGATTAAATCTAATAAATAAAAGAATTCCTTGTGCTAGAAATAAATTTCTGAAGTGAAAAAATTCGTTCGATGAAGAAGAAGAATCTTTATTTTTCATCAAAAATAACTTAGAGAGACTTTATTTGACCGATCGTTTTCTAGGGAACGGAAAAATCCATAGCATAGTATCCGTGCAGTAGGAGGGATTGGAACATTGTTTTTTCAAATATTCAACTTTCTATGTTACAGGCTGACCATGTCCGATTTATTGCAAGGATTCGTGTGTGTGTTCGGCATCATATTCATAACATCAGGTAATTTTGTTTAATTCAGAAAAATGAAATAATGATACAGACGAACAAAAACAATGCACACAGCAGATAAAAGGAAGGGTTGTGAGAAATATTAACTAAAATCGACTCATACACATGTTGACAGTCATCTCCATCACGAATGGATTTACCAATACTACCGTATAGCGGGTTTTTTTTGCGGGTGTTTGATTGAAGGACAATAAAGATATTCGCTCGTAATTTGATTATTTTGAAGAAGAACTTCCGCTAGCTAAAACATCAGGAGACAAATATATTTGAGACGCTTTTGTAAATATTTGACAGTATTTCAGTATCCACAATAATATTTTAAAATTGGGAATTAAGATTCGTCCAATATTAAAACGTCAGAAAAAAATCCGCTTTACGGTTTGTGTTTTAATTAGTGCGAGACATGTTTTTGCAGTCTTATAACTTATTATATCAGAATCTGTACTCACATTTTAGCTGAAAATTTTCCTATTGTTTCATACTCTTTATCGATACATTTTAACTAAGTTTGGATATGCATGGCATGTGATGCATGGATTACACGAAACGAGAACTGCTTTAAAGTAATGGGGTTCATTCTTTTAAAGTTTACCTGATTGTAACATGTTTTGCATCTTTTTAGTTTTGGTCTTTTTAAGTTTTTTTATTCGAGCGTCACTGATGAGTCTTTTGTAGACGAAACGCGCGTCTGGCGCAAATACAAAATTTCAATCCTGGTATCTATGATGAGTTTATTTAGACGTAATGATAAATGCCTTATAGAGGCTAAATAGTCTTTGGTAAATTCTTTGACCTTTATGTAATTAGCAATCATGCAAGTGGTACAGTAAATATGTTTGAAGAAGTTTCTTATCAGAATTTACATGCTTTAACCGCAACCTATCATTCTGGTTGTTTGGGATTTGGTTTAACTTTTGGTCTTTTGATCAATCTTTGTCTTTTGGCTTTTTTTTTTTTTTTTTTTTTTTTCTTAATTTCAGCTTTTTGAAGTTTTGATTTTTACAATATTTAAGTCTCCAGGTATCAACAGTAAGACATTTACTGTCAAAATGCACCTCTGGTGCAGTAAAATTGGTACTGTTAATGTTACTTTGAATTTGAAATCATATGATAGTGTTACATAAATTTTTTTTAGACAGGTATTGAAAGAGC